TTCAAATGACCTAAGAACTGAAAAGCACCCATTGGGTTATGGCATAGGGGTGACATAAACTACTTTGACTTCAGCAGTTTAAATGGAGTGGTAAGGTGCCAGAGCCACTGTGCTAGTCAGCTAGCCTCCTGTTACTATAATGAAATGACTGAGATAGTTAGCTTATCAAGAGAAAAGGTTTATTCTCGGAATAAACCTTTAGATTGGGAAGCTCATCTATGATTCCTTGACCCTGTTGCTGTGGCCTGGCATAGCAGAGTGTGTCACAATGAGAATGTGTGGCAGATAGCACTCATCTTGAGCAGGAAGCAAGAGAGAAAGGAAAAGGCCATGGTCCCACGTCCCTTCCGGGGATGCCCCTAAAAACCTCCTACCTCTCGAAGGTTCCAGTCCCAACCAAACCTTTAACACATGGGCCTTTGGGGGATGGTCACAATCCAAACAGCTCAGGCCTCGTGCACACTGATACCTCCCTGCAGATCTATTCTGTAGCCAGTGATGGTGAGCCCCATTTTAGGTGCTTATTGGTTTTTTTATACTTTTTTTTTTAACAGTACTGGAGTTTGAACTCAGGGCCTTGCACTTCCTAGGTGTGTGCTCTACTAATTGAAGCATACCTTTATTTTTTAAGATAGGATATCATATTTTTGCCCAGGCCAGCTTGAACCACATCCTCCAACCTAGGCCTCCCTCATAGCTGGAATTAAAGGTGTGTAACACCATGCCCAGTTACTTGATGAGATGAAGTCTCATTAACTTTTTGCCTGGGCTGGCATTGAGACTCAGTCCTCCTAATCTCTGACCCCCAAGTAGTTGGGATTACATGTGTAAGACACTGCACCTGGTCCTAATGTCTCTTGAGAGGTACCTGCTAAAGAATTTTACTGAGACTTTGTGAGAATTTGGGCTTTTTGTTCATTTATAAGATACTTTATTCTGGACACAAGTAGTGAACACTGATGCTCTAACAGTATTTCAGGATGTAACTATATTTGGAGATAGGTGATAAAAGTTTAAAGGTAATTTACTCCTATCGTCATCACCCTTTAAAAAAAGGTGATTATAAAAACACTTAAAATGATTATTGTGATTATGCGGTCACCAGGGGAGGCCCTAATCCAATTTGACTACACTGGGAGAGGTCAGGAATGTGCTCTCACAGAGGCCCAACCTCATGAGGAAGCACGGAGGCGGCTGCCAGATGCCCAGACGCTGCGGACCTTGCTGTGGGATCTGCCCTAGGAGTGTGGGAAGGATAAATTCTGCTCTTTAAGCCACCTGAGTGTGGTGTTTTGTCATGGCAGCCTGAGCAAAGCAGCCCCGGAGACGCGCAAAAATGTAAAGCAGTGCCACTCTTTGCAATGAAGTTTTGTTTTGAAAATATTTTCATTAAGATACGGTTTTGTGCAACATATAAAAGGCTATTTTAAATGAACTAATCAAACGTTTTTCTAATTTCAAATACAGTGAACACCGATAAATTAATTAATTAATTAAAGGTCACTGAGTTCCTCAATAATTTTTTAAGGTATAAAAGAATCCTGAGACTGAAATATTTGAAAATAATTCCCCTTAAAATTCCCTATGAATTTTGAATCTTTGGCTCATTGGAGTAGTCTTGAAATTCGTATTTCACTGTTTCAAAGCAATAAACACTAACAGTTTAATTCCACTTGTTCCTTGCCCTTTGTCCCCTGTCATATGTTTTATTTTGCATGTTTTATGCTCCAAAGGACCTTACTGTTACTGTTGTAGCAATGTTCACTTGTCATCTGTAATCTCAGGCCATTAAGAAGACAGCAATGTGCAATGTGAGGCCAGCCCTGGGCAAAACATGACACTCTACCTGAAAAGTAACTAAAGCAAAAACAGGCTGGGCACGAGCAAGTGGTACAGCACCTGCCAGGCAAGCACAAGGGCCTGAGTTCAAATCCCAGTACTGCCAAAGAAAAAGTGGTGGAGTTGCTCTTCCAGCCACTGGTATACCACCTCTCTCTCTAGCCAGTGCTGCCTCTACTCCAGCTCCCCGAGCTCCAGCCAAAAAGAACAGGAGTGAGGAAGTCTCCACATGACTGGGACACAGATGACTCCCCGCAAGTCAACCCAGGAAAACCAGAAAGCAACTGGCAACAAGAGCTGCCCTCCAGAAATCACCCTTTGCTAAAGGAGTGAAGAAACTTCTCCCTCAAAGGCCTGGAACTGTGACACTGAGAAATTAGATGTTCTCTCTCTCTCTCTCTCTCTCTCTCTCTCTCTCTCTCTCTCTCTCTCTCTCTGGTGGGACTGGGGGGTGAACTCAGGGCCTCACACTTCTCAGGCAGGTACTCTCCCACTTGAGCCACTCCACCAGCCTTTTATGCTTTATTTATTTTTCGGATAGGGTCTTGAAATTTTTGCCCCAATTAGCCTCAGACCATAATCCTACATCTGCCTCCCATGTAGCTGGGATTATAAGAGTATACTACCATATCCAACTTATTCATTGAGATAGGGTCTTGCTAACTTTATGCTCAGCCCAACCTTGAAGCATGATTCTCCTATCTCTGCCTCCCAAGTAACTGGGATTAGAGGCATGAGCCATTGCGCCTGGCCTTCACTGAGCTTCTGACTCACAGCCTCCACTTCCAGTGTCTGGAGCAGGAACTTGCAAAGAACTCAAAACAGACCTGTTTCCAGAGCACAGCTGTTGGTGCTTTGCAGGAGCAGGTGAGGCCTGTCTGGGTGACTTTTTTGAAGACACTGACCTGTGTGCCATCCTTGCCAAACATAAGACAAGTATGCCAAAAGACAATGCTGCTCAAGAGTCTACTGTGAGCTGAGGGAGTGGCTCAAGTGGCAGAGCGCCAAGGCTCAGTACCCTTCGAAAAAGGGAAGCAGGGAAAGAATCCATCATGATAGGAAACATTTCATTCCCCGTACAAAAAAAATCTGTTCTTCCTGCTGTTGGCAGTTGTGACCATGAGATCTTTCACCATGGGGTCAAAGGTACCAAGCATGTGACTACAAGAAGAAAGACAAGAGGACAGAAAACAGGTATTGACAGTTTTTCCATTTTCAGTTGTCTGTGAATTTTTTGGGGGGGTGGTTCTGGCACTCACCTCTTGAGCCAGGCACTCTCCTCTTGAGCCAGACCCCAGCCCTTTTTTCTGTAGCGTTTGGTTTTGAAAAAGGTCTTGCATTTATGGCCGAGCCAGCCTGGACCTGGATTTATGTTCCCCACCTAACTGGGATGCCACCACACCCAGCTGTTTGTGAATTTTTATCACAAATGTGAGGATGAAAAGCCTTAATGCAAGTCAAAACTTTCAGTGAACAAGTTTCAGCAGTTCAAGTTTGTAACAGTCATAAATAAACCCCTTAAGCTCTCCTGGACAGTGACAGTATTTGGGTTTCATATTGAAGGTGACTAGTGAGCACCTGCAGCATTTTTATCACGCTGCAGGTTCCATACTGTCACCGTACTTTCCTGATTTGTCCCGAATGCGAGGACCTGATGTGAATATTGTCTGTCGTCTGTGCTGTTCCTGTAAGTTTGCTACTGAAATACAGTAAACTGTGAAGAACGAAAAGGAGAGAGGGAGGAAGGAAAAAGGATGGTGACATGTGAAAAGGACACATGAGACACCTGCAGGAGCTTCCAATGACCAAAGCTGAAACACTTTCAGCAATATTAAAGAATGATATTCTGTCAATTAAACAACATCCATTAGTCCATATTGATGCAAGTTAATAACTGAATATATAAATAGAGGGGAAAAACCCAGCTTTTTCTTAGAATTATAGCGATAAATGTTGATGGGAAAAATAGAAAATCGCCATCAGTCCAACACCACAGTAACAACTGTTGCAGTCAAGATGGGAGCTAAAATCAACGGCTGAAGTCTGAGAAGAAATGGGATATTCTCCTCTGACAGCATTCACCACAAGACACCTGTCACTACAAAGGAGGAAGAAGTAGCTTGCAGTGGAGATCCAGCAGACAGCAGATCCAAGTTAATGTCACCAGTAACAAGGCACTGCACCTCCTCCTGGCATGTCCTGAGAAGGGCACGTGGGGAGGGAGGATGTGAGGAAAACGGAGACAGTGGCACCTCCAGCAGATCAAAAGTGACATGCCACAGGGTGTGGCGGTGCAACCCTGTAATCCCAGCACTCTGCAGGCTGAGGCGGGAGGATCCTGTATGTAGCCTGGGCTACACAGTGAGACCCTATCTCAAATAAAAAACTACAACCCAGCCCTGCCTAGTGGTCCACAGTTGTGCTGCCTGCTCCTCTACAGTCCAGGAAAGCGGGAATTTCTTCTAAGTCCAGGCAAAAGGGAGAGACACTAGGTAAAAGCAAGCTAAAGCAAAAAGTGGTACAGCACCTGCCCAGCAAGGCCGTGAGTTCAAACCCCAGTACCACCAAAAGACACCTAGAGACACACCCACCGAACAAAATTGCACAGTTGTCAGGTGCACCTCCGTAGGAGTCGGGGTGCGCCCGCGGAGGGACGGCAGCCTCGCTGACACCTGGAGGCCCTGGCGGCGGCCGCAGGTTCGGTTTTTCCCAGGCTGATGAACGCTCTTTTAGCCGTGTTGTTGTCCTGCTGTTTTCTGTAACTGCTGTGCTCTGCAGGAGGACCCGGGGACATCTGAGGACAGACCTGGAAAGAGGCTCATCAAAATGCTCACAGCGGTGGGGACTTTTTATTGTCCATAAAGTCCAGTTTTTCGAGAATGCATTTAATGAGGAGAGCAGTCTCAGCACACTCCGGCCGAGGCCGTCCCCAGTCGCGTCCCACGTGTGACCCCGCGTGCCCCTCGTCCGTCCCCCGCCCGGCGCGGTGTCACAGCGGCTGTGGCCGCGGAGGCGCCGCCCGCCCCGCCCCGAGCCCCGCGGCTCCCGCGCAGACGATCGATCGGTCGGTCGCGGTCGCGGTGCGGACGGAAACCGCCGGGCCCCCGCGGGAGGGAGAGTGGACCAGAGCCTTAAAGGACCGGGAGCCACCCTCCTCCGGCGACCTCGTGGCGCAATGGTAGCGCGTCTGACTCCAGATCAGAAGGTTGCGTGTTCAAATCACGTCGGGGTCAAAGCCGCTGTTTTTCCCGGCCACTTCCCCAACGCCAGGCCTTTTAACAGAACGCGATCTCCAGCCGCGCGGTGGAAAATAGGGAATCGGCCCAAAGGAAAGAAAGTGTCATTTATTTCTAAATAAAAGAAAGAGAAAAGAAAGCATTTCTTTCACAACAGAAAGCCGCAAATTAAAATTAAGTTCTAAACATGGGGCTTCGCCCCGGACCGGGTCTCGAGCTCTCCCCCTAGGGCCGTGCGCAGACGCGGAGCGGAGGCGGGCGAGGTGACGTCATCGTCGTCCCGGGGACGGCGACGCGCTCCGCTGCCGCGGTGAAGCGCGCTCCCGGCCTGGCGCGTGCAGGGGCTGCCGTGGGCGCCCGGGTTCCGCCCTGAGGGACGCTGTCTGTCCATCCTGCCGCCCCAAGCCCTGCCAACCAGTCATCTCTCCCGGTCTTCATGGTCCCCTCCTCCAGAGCCTCAGCGGCTGGAGCCTTTGCGGACGGCCTCTCTACCCTAGCGACAAGCACTTGAGATTCCTCCATGCCGTTTCACGATTTTTTGGTCACTCATCATTTTTTCGTACGTTCCCTTCGGCACCCACTCGTGACGCATCTTGCTCACCCACTCAGCATCCTCTCCACACCTGCGCCATGCCAGGCATTCTGTTGTACAACACAGAAACACGCACAAAGCCCTCTCAGGGTTAAGGACCCCCGGCTGTTTGTGCTGCTATCACAAAGTACCAGAGACTGGGTGATTTATAAAGAACAGAACTTGAACTTCTCAGGGAAATTCAAGATCGATCAGTGTCTGGGTGGAGCTTGTCCTCTGCTTCAAGATGGCGCCTTGTGCACCTGCTGGCTAAAGGGGCAGAAAGGGATGGGAAGGGCAAAAGGGCCAGGCCGCTTTCTGAAACCTCTTACAGGGACATTAATCCTACTCTTGAGGGCTCCGCCGTCATGGCCTCATCACCTCCCCAAGGGCCACCTGTTAATACCCCAGCGTAGGGCTGACCTTCCAACATAGGAACTTTGGAGTGGCCCAGGCACTTAAACCACGGCCACCCCGATTACTCTGGTCAACCTTCCCATTCCTCCTTCTTTTCCTCTTTCCATTTGTCACGTGCATGTCAGAATCCCTGGAAGTGAGTCAGGCGTTTGTGTGTGCATGTGCGTGCGCGTGCGCGTGTGCATGTGTGTGTGCGCGCACGTGTGTGTGCGCGTGTGTGCGCGTGTGCGTGTGTGTGTGGCCGAGGAAGCTGCCCCCCTCATGGAGGCCAGGAAGTGAAAGAGAGGCAGGAAGGGGCCAGGATGCCAACACCCTCTTCCAGGGCATAGATATTAATAAATCATATTCTAAATGGTCAAACGGTCAGATAATATTTTATCCTCACAGTCTCCTTTTTATTATAAAAGCAAACTTTTCAGTGATCGGTTTTAACTCTCGACTCACTTTATTTCAATGAACAAGCATTTGTTCTGTCAACGTACAAAAACCAAAATCATCATACTTTTTTTTAAACACTGAGATAAGGATATTTTTTCTAGGTAAAGCATCATTCCTGAGAAAGAAAATGTGGGAACAGGGAGAAAGAAAAGCTCTAAGTGCATTACACTTATTTTCAAAGGTTTGCTCCACCTAAGTCAATACATCAGATTCTTTTTATGAAATAGAATTTTTATTAGTGTATAATAAATGTATTAATGGATTTCATTGTGATATTTCATACATACATATAAAGTAATCTAATCAGATTCACCCCCAGATATTTTTTTAAATTAAAAAAATTCTATTGCTGGACGCTGGTGGCTCAGGCCTGTAATCCAGGCTACTCTGGAGATAGAGATCAGGAGGATCTATGTTGGAAGCCAGCCCAGGCAAATGGTTCAAGAGACTCTATCTTGAAAAACCCATCACAAAAAAAGGGCTGAGAGGCTCAAGTGGTAGAGCACGTACCTAGCAAGCCTGAGGCCCTGAGTTTAAAACCCAGTACTGCAAAAAAAAAAAAAAGTTCTATAGATTATTCTCTCTTATTAATTAATATATGCATTCCTGCTCCATGCCAACTAGTTGTATTGCTTTATCTCAAAAAGGAAGATAAAGCTGGTGGAGTGGCTCAAGCAGTAGAGAGCCTGCCTACCCAGTGCAAAGCCCTGAGTTCAAACTTAGTACCACCAAGAGGAAGATAAAGTTTAAAAGTGGCAGAGCCTTTCTGCAAACATATTATTTCATATATAATCATTCCTCTTAGCCACAGTTTTGCTTTCCGCAATTTCAGTTGTCCCACAAACATAGTCCCAAAACATTAACTGGAAAATTCCAGAAATAAATAAGTCATAAGTTTTTAATTGCACACTATTCTCAGCAGCATGATTAAACCTCATCCTGTCCCACCCCGCCTGGGACATGAATGTTCCCTTGGCCCACTGTATCTGCCCTGTATGCTGCCCTCCTGTTAGTCAGTAGTAGCCATCTTGGTTATTTGATTGACTGTCACAGTACTGCAGAGATCGAGTTCAAGCAACACTTGTACTGGCAATTCAGCTATGCCAGGGAGAAGCCATGAAGTGCTGCTTTTAAATAAAAGAGTGAAAGTTCTGGACTTCACAAGAAAAAAAATCACTTGTTGAGGTTGCTAAGAACAAATCTACTTTGAACTTGTGAACATGGAAAAAGAAATTCATGCTCTTTTTACTATTATACCTCAGACTGCAAAAGTTATGGCCTCAGTGTGTGATAAGAGCTTACTCAAGATGATAAAGACCTGAAATTTGGGGCATGAACAGAAGTTGCAACCAGAAAGTCTTGCACCTGATTTGCAAATTAAATCAGGTATGCGTACACACCTGCTTTTCATAGGTGTGGTAAACAGGTTGTCTGTGTGGGAGGAAACGCAGCCTGTATGGAGTTCAATACTGTCTACAGTTTCAGTCCACTGGGGGTCTGGAACAGATCCCTCAGGAGAAGCTGGATCTGCTCTGTTTTATTAGCTTATTCCTCTTCCCACTGAGGCTGCTTCCTTAGCTCCAGAAAAGTGGACCCTGGGACATGTGACCTGCTTCCCTGACCTCAGCAATGTTCTGACAGCCATGTACTGACAGCCAACTGCATTTTGTCTCCAAGGCATTTGAACTAGAAGTAAATAGGGCAGACCAGCGTTTGTCTTAGAGGACATTCTGAACAAGTGCAGCTGAGATGCAATCATAAAGTGACTTCGTTTCCTATCATCCTTAAAAATGTATTCAGTCTTGCTAGCTCTTCTCCATCTCACAGGCCAGGGATGGGGATGGGAAGGACAGTCCTTGACTTTTCTACTTTGTGAAAAGAAACACTCTCCAGTCTGTGATTACATCATCCATCCTGTGCCATAGTCAAGTCTGAACTTGAGTTAAAGTTGAGGCCCCTTCCTTTTGGGTCTTCTGCTTCTTCCTCTGCACCCACAGTTGCAAACTGTGTCTATGACTCCTGAAGAGTCAGAGCAGAGGAGGGAGGATAAGCAATGGTTCAGGAAAGGTCTACGTGATCAGCGCTGTCATCAGCAGGCACCCTACTCTCAGAGTCTGGGGTGGAATCTTTAGACATTTTGCCTAACACTGTGTGCCAGCTTTTCATCACTGCAATGAAATATCGGAGGTGGCTAACTTCATAAAGAAAAAAGGTTTAACTCATGGTTTTTGGAAACTGAAAGTGCAAACAGCATAGTGTAGGATCTAGCAAAGGCTCCCTCACCCAGGGCAAGAACATGTGTGAGAGGAAGGAAACAGAGCAGGAGGGGCCAAGCTTATTCCTTTTATCACAACCCCCTCATGAGAACCTCCCCAATGAATTTGTCAGGAATGAGAAATTGTTTTCTTGCTAAGAGGTCGTGAGGCCCCATTTCTTCTCAACATATTTATTAATAAATCAATCCTTATCCCTGTGGGGATGCTGGAAGAGATGGGGTGGAAGGGGATACCTTGGCTAGTGTGGTTCCCAGGGTCACGCTAGTGGAGGCAGAAATCAAAGCAGGATGGTGACTCAGGAAAATGCTGGGAACCAGGTATGCCTGGCTAGGGGACACAGTGGGAAGGGGTCAGGGTGAAAGAACTGGCAGGCTCTCCAGCACCATGTGTATCCATGTCATCCAGGAGATCCCAGTTTCACATAGTGTTCTCCAACCTGTCAGACCTTGGGTCCCCGGTTCATTAATTCACCAATATTTGGCACCTGCTCTTGGCCAGGTGCAGGGCTTGGGCCTGGGATATAGTCAGAACCAAGGTGTGGACACTGACCACCAGATAGGAACTCAAGCATGATAATAGAACGCAGAGAGAATATCTGTTATGGGCAGAGTGCCAGGTAACGAAAATCCTAAATCTGTCTCTCTAACGATGTTGTCACAACCACTTTTCATTATTCCAACCCGATGCTCTTCCAGGGTAGAAAGGATTTTAGCCACGTGCCCCTAGGGAAAAGAAAACTCAGTGCTTTCGGAGCCAGCCCCCATGTCAACTAGACCTTGACCGCGCTAACCATGAGGTCCCCCACTCTGACAGCCTTCTGCTGAGACCTCCTGTCAATGACCTGTATTACATCCCCGCCATTTCTCACTGTTTCATTAGCAGTGTGACAAAGTACAGTGCACAGTGTACACAGATAGCGAGTTACATTCTCACTGTCCGAGGAGTCCACCACTTGCTACCAAAGATTCACATCACAAAGAAACAACATGACTGGAAAGATACCTGATAGGTCACACCTAATTGTTAAGAGACGTTTTATGTAGAAAACCTTGATCTGATCCACAGACAGACAGATGGATGGATGAGGGCAATGGATGGATGGATGGATGATGGATGGACAGATGGATGAAGTGGATGGATGATGGATGAATGGATAGATAGATGGATGGGTGCGGAGGGACATGTCTAAACACAGATGGAGGTGGACACTTCTTTGCTCAAGTCTACATGTGTCATTTGTACATCTTCCAGTTACTGGATAACCTAGTTTGTTTCTTGAAGGAATTTTTACCAAC